TATAAGCGGGACAATTTAGTAAAAAATGCTTGACATCTTCAATTTCTCCACTTTCACATAGGGTGCAAATGCCTGAAACATCATTTGACCATTTACACGTTTTACAATCAAGGGGTAGTGTATTAGATCTTAATTTGAATTTTAGGCTTGCCCCAAGAAAATTTGTTTTGTCCAACAAATATTTTTGTAATTTAGGAGAAACTTGAAGTCTTGAATAATTAATTAATGAAGGTTTTTGCAATAATTTATTTGACCACTCTGATTTATACTATTCTGATACATCACGTTCTACAATATTGACAGAGAAAGAATTACACATTAAATTATCAAAATCAAAAACATGATTATAAAAATCAATATCAGGACAACTAATAAGAAATTTATATTTTAAAATATTAAAGTCGCATTAAAGTTGAAGCATACATTTAAGCACTATATTAGGCCACCTGTAATTTTCCATGTTAATAAAGCGATTAAACAATTTAACTCTGGTCACTTCATGTGTTTGAGATAAGGGGACCCATCCTAAGTCTCCATAAAGAGGGTGTATACCGAGGGGCTTTTAAAAGAAAACGGGTCATTTGAATTTGTACTTTCTCCAGATCTTCAATATCCTTGTTAAACCAAATGCTACATGAATAATTTATTGATGGAAGTGCAATGGTCTTCCATAAAATATTTCCATAATAAACACGATTAAAGTTATCTAGATTAGCTATATATAAGCAATAAGACGATTGCCCTTTTGAATTACATGCTGATATTGAGTTTGAAGAGATATAAACGCCTAAATATTTGTAGCTGTTTACCTCACTTATAAACTTGTTGCCTAATTTCCATTCTTTATTATTATTAATTCTTTTCCCAACGACCATAATATTGGATTTTTCATGATTAAAACCTAACTTCCATTCCTTGGCAAATCTACTTGCAATTTCTAACATTTTTTTCATTTCATTTTCACTATTAGCTATTAAAACTACATCGTCAGCCCAAAAGAGCCCTCCCGTCCAAATACCATTCATAGTCACATCCAAGTTGCTTTCACGAAGAAGTTTAACAAATTCATTAATAAATATTGAAAATAAAATGGGAGAAAGCACGCATCCTTGTTTAACGCCTTTATGAATTGGAAATTCCTTAGTCATATTTTTCCCAATTTTTACTTTAGATTTAACGTTGTCATATAGTGAATCTAATGATTCTCCAAATTTGTCCTCTAATGCCTGCATCCCAGGCTGATTTAAGGAGACCATCACGCCACACACTGTCAAATGCTTTTCGGAAGTCCAGGAAGGCTAGATACGTAGTTTTATTTTCAAAGGAACGGCAAGATAAAATACTTTTCAATGTAAAGATGTGGTCTTCACATCGGTGATAAGATCTAAATCCTCCCTGGACTTCCGAAAGAAAATTACCTTTTTCAACAAAACATGAAATGTACATAGAAATTATTCTGTTAAAGATTTTTGACACACATGGCGTTAATGAGATTCCTCTATAATTATTTAAATCCCTACGATCCCTCTTTTTAAAAATTGGCACAATTATGCCAGTATTCCACTCAGTTGGGATCTTTTTTAATTTCATGATTTTGTTAAATAAAGAAACAAGTGACACTTGCATAGCATCACCACCATTTTTTAGAAGTTCATTGGTTATTCCATCTTCTCCAGGAGCTTTATTATTTTTAGCAATTGAATGAGCTTCTGCAACTATTTCATTTTCAATATTAAATCAATCAATCAATCAATCAATCAATCAAATCAATCATTACTTTCTTCAACTTTACCTAAGCTCTTCCAATAGTCCCTAACAGTATCAAGAATTTTGTCTTTATCACACGTTGTTTCACCGGTCTCTGGGATTTTAACACAGTTAATACCAGACTTGCCATGTTTATCATTTGACCCTTTTAGAATATCCCAAAAATCTCTAGAAGAAGGTCCTCCCTTTTTAGCTATCTCAACAGACTTATTGACCCTGTATTCAGTTATATTTTTAGAAATAAGTTGTTTGGCTAAAATTCGTTTTTCTTGGTATGAATTCCACAAATACTCTGTATAAGCACTATTAGGGTTTATTTTGACATTTTTGTCTATGAACACGAGCAGCTTCCCTACGTTCTGTAATTGCACTTTTAATCTCATGATCAAACCAATGTTTGTGCTTTTTACTTATTTTTTAAGTACCAATGCCATTCTTAGCTGCAGCGTTAACAATATTTTTCCATGAATCCCATAACATGTCAACATCATTAAAAGTATCTACATCCCAGTCGGAAAAGCCCCTTTCTAGATTATTCTGGTAATTAATAAAATCTTGTGTTCCTTCAGTGTTCCATATATTATCATAGGTATTGGTATATAATTCTAACAAAAGCGTATTGTGATCGCTTCCTGTGCCTAGCTTCCTACCCTCATCAACAATAAACTTTATTGTATTATTCAAAATAGTTTTAGAACAAAGCATGTAATCAATATTTTTTGGTTACCCTTACACCATGTAACTACACCTTCACATAAGTGAGAACAATTTAAAATATACATGTTAGAATCATCTTTAAATTGAAGAAGTCGAGTACCATTACTATTAATATGTGGGTCACCATTAGGAATTTCATGACCAATCCTACCATTAAAGGTCTCCATTATAAGAATGGACGGGTCACAATCATTTGTATGATTTTCTAGTTGAATCACCTCTGAAAGTAATTGGTTAGTTAATTCATCTGCCTTTTTATTATCAACTCCATTGACTGGATAATAAACAACTGATAAGTACAAAGGTGCTGATTTTGAATTATTAATACATATTTTTATCCAAATTCTTTCAAAATCACCTAGCCTTGAATTAAAGACATTATCATCTACAATAGTAACATCTTTTGATACAAATATTCCAACACCACCACCTTTTTTATGTTTCCTACATTTACCCGACCAATTATATCTGTCAATGTGAACATTATTATTATTGGTTAGAAAAGTTTCTGCTACACCAAAAATATACCATATATAGAATACCATTATTTGTAATTAATTCAGATATTTCACAAGGTCGTGCAGAAGTTAACCTATTTACATTATTGAAAGCTATTTTATTATTACTACATTTGTTTTTACCCGATACCCTTGATTTCCTACTGCGTCGGTGTCTTCTTCGCGGTTCTTGTTCTTCGTTTATAGATACATTATAGTTAAAAGTATTAGGTGCTTTAGCATTGTCATTTATTACAATGCTAAGTTCATCGATAAAACCAAGAAATCTATTGGCGAGAGGCATACCTGATGCATTGTTGCTTGCGATTTCCTATCTTGAATGATCCTGCACATTGGTGTGTTGCCTGTTTAGTTGGTTCATAGTTGTGCTGCCCTCTGGGTTGTTGTTGTTGTTCCAGCATGGCTGCTGGCGAGGCCGTAAATTGTTTGGCAGAATAAAAGTTTCCATTCTAGTTTATACTGGACTCCCTTGTATTACTTGGCTACCAAATACTACATGGTGGCAGCGGGAAAGTGTTAGATTAACACAGGTAACCCTCATCGATTTTACAATACTTTAATTTCATCAACAACCCCGGTGGACTAGGCCTACAACGGTAAACATGGCCGACGGTTGACGCAAGCCGAGCATACTATGCTTCGACGGTAACGTCGGCGAGAATTGGCGTATTTTCGAAGAAGATTTCGATATCTTCATAGAGGCGGTGCACGCCAAGAAAACGGACAAATAAAAGGCATATCTACTGCTGAATTTGGCAGGTCGTGAGGCAGTGGAAAAGTCACGGGGATTTACGTATGCTAGTGGAGAAAGTAAGGACAGCCTAGCCACTCTTAAACAGAAATTTCGGGACTTCTGCACTCCGATTAAAAACGTGACTGTGGAGCGGTATTGCTTCAACAGCCGACAACAGCAGGTAGGTGAATCGGTACAGTCTTACATCGCTGTTTTAAAGGCGCTCGCAAAAACATGGGAATTTGGAGAACTAACAGTTGTGCTGCCCTCTGGGTTGTTGTTGTTGTTCCAGTATGGCTACTGGCGAGGCTGTAAAGTGTTTGGCAGAATAAAAGTTTCCATTCTAGTTTATACTGGACTACCTTGTATTACTTGGCTACCAAATACTACAAAACCATAAGAGGTTGGCTAGGCCTAATGACGAGGTGAATATTAAAATTGTTAAATGTTTACATAAATTATAATTCTACTAGGCAATTGACACCCTTCAAATAGGCTTTAATTATTAGTTGTTGTTGATTAAACACGTGTTAAATAAAGAGTACTGGTACATAGTCATTAAAAAAACGGTATACAGTATGTTGTATTCAATATTCATGTAGTCCTAAATGAAGACCAGAAAGCAAGTCTGATCATCCCGAATGTAGACATGAAAGAGAGGTTCAATTGAATTGAGAGAAATCTGGTCAAGCTGAAAAAAATTGATGTCTCCACGTGGGCTCGAGACCCGGATTTAACACATACGGGCCTACAGTAAATCACTTAATCTCATTTTTTTTGTAGGTTATTCATGTTTTCCTCAACATATCCGCTAGACGGCACCCGCATGCACTTATTCTGCCGAGTTTTACAGCAACAAAGTGGGCAAAGGTCAATTTGACTGGTTATATCTTAAGGTAACTTTCCTTAACTGTTTGACACTTTAAAATTATTTTTGTGAACGATATGATTCATGATGAACTCTTATTTTATTGTTCGAGGCGTCATGAATGCTATAAAATGAGGAAAACATAATATAATGCGTCTCTAAAACAGTGAACACTGGATTGCTCTGATCTGAGTTAATAACTTATTTTATTTTTCATAAGCTATTCAAAATTTGAATTGTTTTTTTTTTTTTTTTTTTTTGTTTTTTTTTAATCGTTTTCGGGTTTTCTTTTTTTTTTTCTTTTTCTTTTTTTTTTGTAGACAGAATCTTTGAAGTAACGTAGCTTATTATTCTTTTATAATCTGGTTTTGCAGAAAAGGTTTGAAACGTTCAACTGGATATTGATGCCAATCAATATCGATAACCATTGGATGCTGCTGGCAGCTAATATGAAGAAAAAAACAGTTGCCATTTTAAATTCAACCGGGGAAACTCCCCATGTACATACGTACATAAACTACTGGAGGTAATTTTTGTTTAGATTACATGCTCTATTTTTCTACAGTGTTGGTATTATTCTTTCCTTTATTGATAAGCTGTCTATACAGGACAGAGACCTGTTTTGACATACATTATTATACATACACATATTATACATAACTGGTTACAAAAATGTTAGTGTACATATAGTATGTCTTGCTAAACACAACAAGATTGCTGTATAGAGATAATTTTTTTTTTGTACTTACCAAGACATATAAATAAGCCTACAGGATAAAATTTTCTGGCATTAATGACACATACATTGACGACCATACAAATGGAAATGAAAAGGGAAACACACACCAAAAAAAAAAACAAAAAACAAAAAAAAAAAAACACACACACACAAATAAGTATCTTAGCTAACGACGTAATTGGGTGGGGTTCTGGATATGAAAATATTATATGAATGGTCGGTGTGGAGTGTTGTAGTTGGGTGGAAGTGTAATCGTAGTAATTCAGGTTTGTACGCCGGCCTTTGACTGATGTGCTAACGGCTTTACATTGTGGTGATAATTTTATCTAAATCATATCCAACGCACATTTTCTTTCTCTACCTCTTCCCTTTGGAATGAACTCCCTTCCTTTGTTAAGGATCTGTTTGAAGTTAAATTAAAACATACATTAATCACTGATTAATTATTGATTAACTCAACAGAACATTCATGCGCCAAAGAGCAACCAAATTAGAGAAACAGCTACGTGCGTGGAAGCCGGTGACATATCCTGTAAGTGCACAAAAAGATGGGAGAAGCTGCGGCATATTTGTCCTAATGGTAAGGGTAGAATAACGTAGTCATAGTAATAGTAGGCCTAGTAGTACAGCAGGTTACGAATATTTCGAAACCCAAACGGAAAATAACGAAATTAACAGACACGTGGTAAACGTAATTTGTACTTGTAATTAATTGTAATCATACATTGTTTAATGGATTTTGTGTGATTTTTAATTGGGTCCAGAAGGGGGCGATGTGGGACTAACCCCGCCAAATCGCTGCACCGATGTCGATTAATATGGCTCAATTTTTTCCCCAAAACTAAAAGTATTGGTCCAAGCACGGAGAAAGTAGATTGAATCTACCTGAAGTTTCAACCAATACCTCAGTCACCAAATTCGAAAAAGTGCTTTAGTTATAAAATTGATCTGTTAGTGTTCAAGCAAGATATATAAAAATATAAAATGTTTCCCCTGTCTGAGAGTGCCACACCTTAAAGTTTCTGACCTCAGACCCAATAATCGCAAAATTTACATTATTTCGGACCCTCTATGTTCCATATCCTTTTCTGTAAATTTGAAAGCTTACTTTACTTTCACTCTTTTACTTTCAGAATGCGGAGGCACTTTTGGCAGGCGTTCCGCCTATCGTCATGCGCCAAGTGCATGTTGATATGTACAGGGATTACGTGAAAAATAGCATTATGATGGAAGATGCAAGGAAACCATCCTCCAAATGCTGTGCAGAAAAATGTAAGCACCCCAAGGGCAAGTCGCACTGGATTCAGTGCGACAACTGCCAATGCTGGTCACACTTCAGTTGTGTTGACATTAAAATTAAAAAACAGCCAAAAACATTTTATTGTTTTGTGTGCACTAACCGTGGTTGTCAATTTTAACTTTGTTCTATTTCTCGTCGCTGTGTCTTCCCTTTCTCCATTCGTGTTTTACTTTTTGTCTTGTTTTCTCTTGGAAGTTTTTGATATTTTTGTAATGACTTTTTTATGCTCTTAAATTTTAAATTGTTGTTTTAAATACCGTCATTTATATTGCCTCTTTTTTGTAAATTGTTTATGTTTCCTTCTGAGATACAAATAAATTCAATTCAATCCAAGCTCCAGAGTAGTCACTGTATGAAGAATTTTATTTCATATCTATATTATATATTAAAGCATTACGTGATTAAAATTTTATATAAAATTTTATTAAAATTTTATATATATATATATATATATATATATAGATATAAATCAAGGTAGCCGTTAACACTGTTAAATCATATATAAATCATCAAAGAAAGGTAAATACGGTGTTATTCTAACATTGTATTTACCTTTCTTTGATGATTTATATATAATTTAACAGCATTGAAGTTGAATATCAGATTTGTTAACGTAATTAAAATTAATTTGATATATTGCTGGACATTAAATTTTTTATGCAGAATATTTTATTTTATTTAATAAATTATCCTATTATTTAAATAATTATTTTTGTTTTAATAGGTCTTAATTAAAATTTGTTAATAGATTCATTGAAGTTGAATATCAAATTTGGTAATGAAAATTAAGTTGACATATTACTGGACATTCTATTTCTTATGCAGAATATTTCATTTTATTTGATAAATTATCTTATTATTATAATTCATTTTTTTTAATAGGTCTAATAATTAAAATTTGTTAATAGGTTCATTGAAGTTGAATATCAGATTTGGTAATCGAAATTAAGTTGAAATATTGCTGGACAGTCGTCCACTTCCGCTGGACAATCCACTTCCAAAAAAGTACACTGTGATTTTGGTAACATTTCAATTAAAGATGATTGACATTTCCAGGAATCCACTGCAAAAGTAAGTTTAATCTGAATTTATGTTTAGCCAATACATAAAACATTTACACCTTTCGTTATTAATTTTTTTTAAAGATTTTATTTGATGTTTTTTTTCTTTAAATTTTGTATACAGAATCGATTAATCAAATTATAAGTGAAAATGCTCATTCACAGAAGCTTCTACAAACTTTATTCTTGGACCCCCACAAAGTCTTACACTCACCGATTGTTAAAATGACAATTTTTAAAAAATTATGGTCTACTTTTAAACTTATGTAATTTTTAGACTTTTTGTACATTGAAAGAGGCAGAAGAATGGGAACTTAATGAATACAGTCTTCTATTCATATCTGTTACAGTTAGTTAGCATTGAAATTTGGTTATAAATGTGTATCCAATATTTTTTTTAATTAGCCATGCAAATAAATATTTGTTTTGTACAAGTTTATAACCTTTAACCTTTGTCTTTTTCTTACAATTTCAGTACCTGATTATACTAGCATTGTCTCTTGCACTGGATGTATTAGTCATGTCACATATGTGTACAGTTTGCAGACAACAGTTTCAGATTAATGAAGCCTTAGAAGTACATTGGACTGTACTACATAACATATATAATGCACATACACCACACATCCCTTCCGTAATTTTAACTTCACTTTTAATAAATGAAAGTGGTTTTTTTTTATTGTAATATTGTCGAAGGAAAGTGTGCTTTGGATACGTGCGATATAAAACATTTGTACCTTCTGCCATGTGGTGTTTAAAAACAAATATAGTTTAAAGCTTCACATTATCAATTGCCATTTTGGAAAACATGCTATTACTGTTCATGGTTTAACAGTTGCTAGTTGCAATATATATATATATATATATTTATATATATATATATATATAATTTTTGTTATCAATATTATTATTACTTGTATATAAATAAAATATATTATTATTGACAGTACTATAGTATTGCTGTACACACATACTAATAACCGTCATTTGGGTTTATCATTATCAATATCATTCTATCATCTATTTGCCCTTGTAGGGCATATGTGTTTATAGTTAGTACAATTGTAATTAACAGAACAATTATTATTATTGTATTTGTATTGTATTTAGGCACACTTTATTCAAAAATTGAATACACGGCCACATGGCCCAACAGGAAAAACATAACTGGCACGCAAACCAGAATCACCATTAAAAAATCTTGAGGAACATGCAACGGTATTTAATCACTTTTTTTTTTTTTTTTTTTTTTTTTTTGTATAATCATTCATTTATTATTACACCTAATTTACTTATTTATTTACTTAATTTGGTAAAGTAGGCGTTCAACCATCCTTAAGTTTTTGTGTACCCCAACATCCACCGGCACCAAAGGACACACCAGTAAATGCTGCCTGGTGAGGTTTACGGAATTACCGCACAGCTTACATGAGCAAGCATTATTAAGGTGGTAACAATTAGCTATGCTACACCAAAGATTATGGTAAGCCGTCCCTATCCACCGCCCCATCGTTTTCCTCATTGGCACACGCAACAGGGTCACATTTGGAGGGGTCTGAATGCCATCACGAATCAGCGATGGTAAAGGAGTATTTAATCTAAAGTAATTTTGGAGAATATCTCCAGCACCCACCCAACCAGATTCATCAAGGAGATGAGAGTTGGAACTAAGTTTTGAAACACCCCACCAGTGTTTTAGTAGACGGCACTGCACAAGAGTTATGTAATCAAAGTGAGCACTGGTCATTTGTGCAACAAAAGCTTTCAGGCCATAAGTTGCGGACGGCAAAACTACAGTGAAAAAAAGTCTCTCAAGTGAGGTCAGAGACATGTTTTCAAGGGGCATATTAACTGCAATCTTCGCACAGGCGGAAATTCCTTTCTTTTTTAGGTAATCCAAGTGTCCTTTATAACCTCCCTTAGTTTTAAACACAACACCCAAACCAATAAATTCAGAAACAAACTCGATGTTTGAACAGCCACAGAGAACACTGTCTCGGGCTCCAAGACGCCCCCTCTACGAAATTTTACTATCTTCGTTTTACTGACATTATTGTCAGTCCATTGCTCTCGCAGTAATTATAGCAAATTAATAGATTTTTGCAACAGATCAACTTCTCTCGTACATATGGCAAGATCATCAGCATACAGTAGAGTAATGATGTTGCCCGGAGCTTCAACACACGAGGGCAGATCATGTGTGAAGAGAATATAAAGGAGAGGTGATAGGCATTCACCTTGGACCAGGCCAATGTTCTGTGCGACTGCTTCACTAACTCAATATATTATGTGTTAAAATTTTAATGTAATTCTCTCTCAGTAGAGACCACAACGCTTTCATAATCTTGGGATGCAATCCTAGTTCACAAAGCTTCCGAAGCAACCTACCCCTGTCCACGCTGTCAAATGCCTTTTTAAAATCAACAAACGCCATATAGAGTGGGCATTTGGGAATATTTAAGATGTTATTTATTAGCATATTAAGCTCTTTGTTTCAGTGGATAGGTTGCTTCGGAAGCCATGCTGTTGCGCAGGCAGTATCCCTTGGGTTTCTGCCAAGTTTAATATACGTTTACTTAGTATATACGTATAACATTTTAGAACACACGATGATAATGCAATACCCCTATATGAGTCTGGGTGTGACAACGATCCTTTGCCCTTATATATTGGCAACAAGTAGCCAATCAGCCAATCAGATGGGCAACAACTGTTAAGAAAACAAAAGTTTAAAATTTGAGTTATTGGAGTTACTAAGATCTCACTACAGTTTTTCAAAACATCATAGGTGATTCCGTTCGGCCCGGCCGCTTTACCCGCTTTCCCCCTACCAAATACAATTAAAACTTCGGGCTCATCAATGGGCCACGAAATAAGATCATCATCTGTCACTACATTTGCGTAGTAAGGCAACATCGGTAGATTGTCAGTATGCAATAAGGCACTAAAGCGATCAAACCACATTTCAGGGGACACCTGGGATCCACCCGACCTTGTTTTTCTAGTTCTCCAAAGTGACCAGAAATCGCTGATACTGGCTTCAGCCTTTTCAATCATCCGTATTATTTGCTCCTCCTGATATTTATGTTTTTTCTTTCTCTTGAGGCGCTGGAATTCTGCTACAAGTTGTGAAATAATAGCTAACAGCTTCTTACTGTTGTTTTTCTTTATTCGAGCGTATGAACGTCGCGTTCTTACCTTTAATTTAAAGCATTCTTTATCAAACCACGGTCGAGATTTTCGTTTGCGCGATTTGATGCAGGAGTTCTTGATTGCATTACAAAGGTACAGATACGCGTCCTCTACATTGTTTGCCTCATTACCATGATCACAGTTTAGAATGCTATATAATTCCTCTACGTCCACACTTATTGCCAGTTTAATGTAATCAACCTTGCGAATAGGGTCGCTTCTCACGCCCATTTTATTTGGTGAGCACTCATAACTAATATCCACCGACTGGTGTTTCGCCTCCAGAGATAGTAATACTCGCACTCGTATATCTTGATCAAGCATATCCTTTATGAAAACAAGATCGATTACGCTCGTTCCCTGAGCAGAAATATATGTTTGTATGGTAGGGTAATTTCCACATACAAATCCCATATCGCACAATCTAGCACACAAATCCCGACCTCTAGTGCCGGAGTCTATGGGTGCGTTAAAATCTCCTGCGATAATCAAAGGTGCTGCTCCTGTCGGAAAGAGCAATATTGCGTCTGCCACTTCGCTTAGAATATCATCTACGTCGTAGCCAGGTTGGAAATAACAAATTATAAAACTGAAAAGAGATGTTGCTACACACACTATGTTCTTATTTTTGTATACCATTACTTTTCATTAGAACTAACGTTTTTAGGGCAGGTGGTGTTGTTCTGTTTGTATTCAAGTTAAACATCTCTGTCCTACTATAAGAAATAACAGGGTAAATACCTGGAATTACAACATTAATTGCAGCGCCAAGACGAACAGCTCCGAGGACGGCCATCTTGGTATTATTATTATTATTATTATTGTTATTATTATCATAATCATTAATATTATTATTATTATTACTATTATTTATTATTATTTTTACTATCATTATTTATCATCAATATTATAATTATTATTATTATTATTATCATTATAAATATCATTATAAATATTATTATTTATTAATCTATTTTCCTATGCCCTGTGTATATCAGAGGATGCTAATTGTATGACTTTTTTTGACAGTAATTAGTATGACTGCTCCTACTTTATCGGTAT